TAATGGTCTTTGATAAAGAAAATACAAAGTCTAGATGGCTTTGCTGGTGATTTCTAATGAACACTAATGGGAAAAAATTTCAATTTTACACAGACCATTTCAGAACACATTAAAAGAAAGAACACTTCCTACTTTATTTGGAAGGCTAAGTTGATACTAAAATCTGATAAGGATAGCACAAGATTGGGAAATTACAAATCAGTCTTACGCATAGACATAGATGAAAGATTCTGACAAAATATTAGCAAGATGGATCCAGTAACCTAAAAAAAAAAGATACATCATGACAAAGTAGAATTTTTCATGTTAATGCAAGAAGAGATAAATATTTATACTAATTTAAAATTAGTATACTTTATTGTAGTAACATTAAAGGTGAAATGTGATAAATTATGAAATGCAGGAAAAAATGTTTGCTAATATGATGTATTTCTTAATGATTAAAAAAAAACTCTTGGCAAAGTTGTAATAAAAGTGAACTTTCTAAAATTTAAGAATGCCTATAACAAGCTAACGCAAACATTAAACTTAATGATGAAAAATTGAAATTCTTCCCTTTAAAATCAGGAACAAGACAAAGAGGTCACAAATTTCCCCAGACCTCTCTGTCTTTCTGCATGGCCTGACCATGTGGCTGGTATGGACTTCTTCATAGCCTGGTGGTCACAGGGTGTTTGGACATCTGTCTTGGTGGCTGGCTTCCATTGAGAGGAAGCTGAAGCTGCCAGTCCTCCTATAGACTAGGACCAGAACAGGCATACTGACATTTGTGCTGCATTTAGCTGGTAGAAGCAAGTCACGGTCTAGCCCAAATGCAAGAGGAGGGTGAATAGATTTCTCCTCTAGTTGTGGGGAGTGGCATGTGTGTCCAAGTATGAAGAAATTGTTGCAGTTATTTTTGGAGATCATCTACCACAACTCTACCAGACTGGCAAAAATGTAAAAGGCCGGTGACATATGATATTGCCAAAGATGTGGAGTGATTGGCCACTTACACACTGCTTGTGACCATGAAAATTAATATAACTGCTTTGGAAACCACTTTAGTGTTATCTAGTGGAGCTGAAGATGTGTATGCTATGTGGTCCAGCAGTTTAACTCCTAGATTGTTTTTGCTTTGTATGCCAGGTGCCATGTGTAAGGATGTTTATAGTACACTTTTTGTAATAGCAAAAAACCCTAGAAACGAACCCAAGTGTTTACCAACAGCAGAATGAACAAATAAATTGGAATGAAGTCTTTCAATAGAATACTGTATTTCAGTGACAATGAACAAATTGCATGGGCAATAAGATGATTTAATCTCCAGGACATAAGATTTGAGTACAAAAATGCGAGGTACTAATTAAATATACACAGTTTAAATAAAGTTAAAAACTATGCAAAACTAAATAGTGTATTATTTACAGATGCAAAAAAATATGGTAAGCCTAAAAGACAAGCAAGAAAATGACAAACCCGAAATTTGGGGTGGTGGTTATTTCCAAAGTGGTAGAGAAAGATATAAATGGGTTGGGACATGGGTAATTCTAATAATCTTTAATGGTGACTGAATGATGGATATCTCTTGTATTATTTTTCCTTGTATGATTTTGTATGTATTTTATGTTCTTTTCTGTCTTTTTAGTATTTAATGTAAGTAAAAAAAAGGAGAAAAACCCTCAATGCTTGCTTGCTTGTTTGCTTATTTATTTGTTTGTTTTTGATGAAGGTTCTCTTCTGTTGAATGATGTCCTTGAATGGTTGTTTCCATCATAGAGTAGCAGAGAAGGTCTAGGTCCTGTCTTGGGTAATTACCTTTGTCAGTTCCTTGTTGACCCTTCTGAAGACTATGGTGAATAGGCTTTGTGGTTTCTTGGATGAGTTGTAGGTTTGGCCAGGAAGCCTTCATTCCACTGTGAACCTTAGTTCTCTGTCAGGTGGAAGACAGTCTTGCTGACCTTACCTTTCCTGTTTTCCAATCCCAGTCACCTTTACAGAGTCTCCCTAGACCCCTAAGACTGAGTGACTACCAAGACCATAGTTTTAAGCAAACTCATGGTTTGCCTTGTTGGATTAATAGTCACTGGCTATTGAAAATTAAGAGAAATCAGTAGTTCTCATATGTGAAGAATAGAATAGGAGCTATGACTTCTAATTTCTTGTAATTTTGTTGTTTCACAGATTGACCAGCTGAAGCAGGAACTTTCAAAGAAGGAGTCAGAACTTCTTGCCTTACAAACAAAGCTTGAAACCCTTAGCAATCAGAATTCAGATTGCAAGCAACACATTGAAGTGCTTAAAGAGTCGCTTACTGCCAAAGAACAGAGGGCTGCCATCCTTCAGACTGAGGTAAGGCACTGTTTCAGGATTCCAGACATCAGGCGTTGACTCGATAGAAAATGTCCTACCTGAACAGCTTTCTTTAGAAGATCCTTTATCCAAACCTTTGGGGTCAGATGTATCTTGGATATCAGATATTTTGGGGATTTTGGAAAGGTAAGACCCATTGCATGTACCATAGATTGTGTAATGTTCCCAATAGGGTTGCAGCAACATCCCATAAACAAGCACATGGCTATTTCTATGGAAAAAATCTTCTTACATTAAAGTAGGATAAACGAAGACTGTGTAAGGAGACTCCTGTCAGTTCATGTTATGTTGTGCCACCAGAAGAGTTTGCTTCACATTTGTATTTTTCATATTTCAGAGGGTTTTTTTTGTTTTTTGTTTTTGTTTTTTTAAATTTGGCAACCACAGATAAATGATTGGATCTAGAATGGTTTCATTTTATCAAAATTAATTTAAAAAAGTCAAAATGTCATCTACCATACTTGACTATGTATCTGTATAGGTCCCCCTCCTGGCATTTTTGGTTCCAAGGGTTTCCTACTTCCTAAGGAATACCCTCAATTTTCAAGATTCTTTTACCCATTGAAGAAAGTTGATATTGTGTGAGTTTCTTAAAGGAAATATTGGTTTGTTATTTCTTAATCATACTTAGGAAAAAAATTTATGTTAGTATCCTATTTCTTTGCTATTCCTCATTGGATTATATCTTTGAGTATGCGAAGATATGCAAAACACAAGCTAGTTATTATGTAAGTAAAACAGTTGCCAGAAAATATAATTATTACAGAAAACAAATTAAAAAATAGATTATTATGTGTGGGCAGTAGCAAAGAATGTGGTGAATCTCCCTGGTTTTTGTGTTGAGGCAATGTGTTAGGTAGATTACTTTAGGAGAAGGCAATATAATTGAGTTGCACTTTCTTTCTTGTGCTCTTGGAGCCATGTGTTTGCATCTATAGAGAGGTTTGGATTTTCCATAGGAGTTAGTGGGCCTGTAAACTAGGTCTGTGTCCTCAGTTAAGGCAAGGGAGAGTGGCCAGAGGAGAAAGGAAACATGTTCCAGGTTATATAATTATTGGCATAGACCTGACTCAGCCCCTATGCTCTTGATTGGCCAATAAGCAGTTACTTGATTGCTTCAAATCAAAACTGTCAGTTTGGCCTCAATGATGTAGATATTTCACATTTAAGAAATAACATGTTCAGTTGTGTATAGCTGCATTGTGAATGTAGAAGCATAGATATTTTATTTTGTAAGGCAGAAATGTAAACTATGCCATGAATAGGAAGGAGGGAAGCATCAGTACATAGTATCTAGAACTGTGTAGTCTAATACTGTATCCACTAGTCACATGTGGCTTTCCAAATTTAGGCTGATTAAAATTCAGTAAAATTTATGCTCCCCAAAGCAAGCCTTAGTAAATTTGAGAAAATTGAAATCATATCAGGCATCTTCTCTGACCACAATGCTATGAAATTAGAAATCAACTACAAGAAAAAAAAAACTGTAGAAAGCACAAACATGTGGAGGCTAAACAATATGCTACTAAACAACCAATGGATCACTGAAGAAACCAAAGAGGAAATAAAAAAATACTTAGAGACAAATGAAAATGAAAACACAATGATCCAAAACCAATGAGATGCAGCAAAAGCAATTCTCAGAGGGAAGTTTATAGTGATACAAGCTTACCTCAGGACACAAGAAAACACTCAAATAAACAACTTATCCTTACACCTAAAGCAATTAGAGAAAGAAGAACAGACAAAACCCGAAGTTAGTATAAGGAAAGAAATCATAAAGATTAGAGCAGAAATAAATGAACTAGAGACTAAAAAAAAAAAAAATAGAATGGATCAATGAAACTAAAAAGTGGTTCTTTGAAAAGATAAACAAAGGTGATAAACCTTTATCTAGACTCATCAAGAAAAAAGGGAGAGGGCTCAAATTAATAAAATCAGAAATGCAAAGGATCCTGAGAGGCTAGTATGAGCAACTATATGCTAACAAAATGACAGCCTGGAAGAAATGGACAACTTCTTAGAAAGCTATAATCTCCCAAGATTGAATCAGGAAGAAATAGAAAATATAAACAGATCAAGTACCAGTGCTGAAATTGAATCAGTAATTTAAAAACTTCCAAAAAACAGAAGTCCAGGAGCAGATGGCTCCACAGGGGAGTTCTACCAAACATTTATAAAAGAGTTAATGCTTATCCTTCTGAAATTATTCCAAAAAATTGCAGGGGAAGGAACATTTCTGAATTCATGGTTTGAGGTCACCATCACCCTGATATCAAAATCAGACAGAGATACCACAAAAAAAGTATATTACAGGCCAATAACACTTATGAATATAGATACAAAAATCCTCAACAAAATACTAGCAAATTGACTCCAACAGTACATTTAAAAGATCATACCCCATGATCAAGTGGGATTTATCCCAAGGATGCAAGGACTTTTCAACATCTTGAAATCAATCAATGTGATACACCACATTAATAAGCTGAAGAATAAAAACCATATGATCATCTCAATAGTTTCAGAAAAAGCTTTTGATAAAATTCAACATCATTTATGATAAAAACTCTCCGGAAAGTGGGTATAGAGGGAATATACCTCAACATAATAAAGGCCATATATGACAAACCCACAGCTAACATTATTTTCAGTGGTGAAAAGCTGAAAGCATTTCCTCTAAGATCAGGAGCAAGGCAAGGATTCCACTATCACCACTTTTATTCAACATAGTTTTGGAAGTCCTAGCCACAGCAATCAGAGAAGAAAAAGAAATAAAAGGAATCCAAATTGGAAAAGAAGAAGTAAAACTGTAACTGTCACTGCAGATGACATGATACAATACATAGAATATCCTAAAGAGGCTACCATAAAACTACTAGAGCTCATCAATGAATTCAGTAAAGTTGCAGGATACAAAATTAACATACTGAAATCAGTTGCCTTTTTATATACTAACAATTAAATAGCAGAAAAAGAAATTAAGGAAACAGTCCCATTTACCATTGCATCTAAAAACATTAAATACCTAGAAATAAACCTACCTAAGGAGGTGAAGGACCTGTACTCCAAAAACTATGACACTGATGAAAGAAATTGAAGATGACACAAACAGATGGAAAGATATACTGTGTTCTTGGATTGGAAGAATCAGTATTGTTAAAATGGCCATACTACACGAGGCAATCTGCAGATGCAGGGCAATCCTTACCAAATTGCCAATGATATTTTCATATCAATTGGCAATTTTCAATTGGAACAAAAAATTTTTTAATTTGTGTGTAAGCACAAAAGACCCCAAATAGCCAAAACAATCTTGAGGAAGAAGAACAAAGCTAAAGGAATCATGCTCCCTGATTTAAGACTGCTACAAAGCTACAGTAATCAAAACAGTATCTTACTGGCACAAAAACAGACATAGATTAATGGAACAGGATAGAAAGTCCAGAAATAAACCCATGCACTTATGGTGAGTTAATCTACAGC